ACATTCTAATTTACAATATTTTTGTGATTTATGACCACTTTTTTGTTTTAAGTTTTCTATAATAATATTGTACTTTAAATATTATATTATTTTTCTATTGAGCATTGTAGTTTTGCATATATATATATATATATATATATATATATATATATATATATATATATATATCATATTTTGTCCTCTTATAACATTATACTTTACAATATTTATTTTATTTATGGCATTTGTTTTTCTTTTTTCATTATAGCATCCTACTTTTTTTTTTATTTTCCATTTTTGCATTGTACTTTCCAAATAAGCTCTTAAAGGATAAGTGATATCCAATCAATACATACATACATATAGATACAAATACACATTACATATACATACAAAAACACTTTCCATTATAGCAACATACTTTTTTTTTCTTTTAATTTTTTCCATTATAGCGTTGTACTTTCCAAATATACTTAAATATATAAATATTAGATATTGCATATACAATAATAATGCACTTTCTTTTATAGCATCCTACTTTTTTTTTCTTCATTTTTTTCATTATAGCATTGTACTTTCTAAATTGCATATAAATACATAAACTACATATTTGATTTTCTATGCATACAAATACATATACACAATAATACTTTCCATTATAGTATGCTACTTTTTTTTTTCATCTATAGCATTATAGTTTCTAAATTGCATACAAATACTCAAACTACATACATAATTTTCTATACATACAAATACACGTATAAAAGAATAAATTTTCCATTATAGCATCATACTTTGGTTTTTCATTTTTTTTCATCTATACCATTATAGCATCCAAATTGCATACAAACACACAACTACATACATAATTTTCTATACATATAGAAAATAATATACATCCCATTATAGCATACTACTTGTTTTTTTCATTTTTTTCATTATAGCATTTTAGTTTTCATACACATAAAATATTAAAAAAAACCATCATATTACACATGTCATGCATCTTAAACACAAAAATACACATCATACATACACAAAATTAACAAATTATATATAATATATATATATATATATATATATATTAATATATATATATATTATATATATATAAAAGAAAAAAAAACATTTCCTGTAGTGGTTGTGATGATAATTTTCAACGACAAATTGGTGGTGGCGGTGGGGATCTTCAAATTGCAACTATATACTACAAGATGTCAAAATTCCGTCAACCAACATGTACATTCAGTGGGGTAGAAAGAGAAGTCGAAAAGCAAAGAGAAAAAAAACCGAAAAAAACTCACAGGTAGTTGTCGCCTGAACTAGAGGGGAACGCCACTAATTGACGTCGTCAGTGATAAAATGGATCGCATGTGATGAGATTTTGGTCGCCGGTGTCTTGGACACCGATGGAAGCTTCAGAATTTGGTTAATGGTCGTCGCAATTGCAAAAATTTTCGACAGAAATGAAAATGGTGACACACAACAGAACTGGGAAAGAAGAAATGGTATTATCTGCGACAAGTATTAGCGGCGACGAGTATTAGTGGCAAGGGCTACCAATTGCGGCAACGAAAGGCGTAATAGTGGCGATAACATTGAAGGGAATCTTTGGTGGTATTTTTTTGAGTATTTTTCGACAAATAACGCGAACTTTTTTATCGCCGCTAAAGGTGTGCGTCGCTGCTAATGCTCGCGTTTCTTGTAGTGTATCCTTAGATTTATCATATTTTAATAGGTGTAGCTACATGGGTGCAAAAGTAGGTCTTGATCCTACCTAAAAAAATGTTAAGGCTTGTGAATTGCAATGTGACCCACTCCATTCTAAACTTAAAAGATGGAAATAATTTAAATATTGAGACATGTGATTAAAGAATCAAGATAACAATTTTTTGAATAGATCAAAATGCATTTCGATCTCCACAATGAATTTCACATTCATTAGGTTTGTATATATATATATTAATATTTTTATTATTATCTTAATGAATAAGTTACTTTCAACTTAAACGAATAATTTACTTTAAAGTTATAAATTGTTATATTTTGTTACCATTTCCAGCATTTTGCTAATTGGTTATATTTTGTAAATTATTTAAACTACCCTAAAACAAAATTATTTAATTATCCTAAAACAAAATCGCGGCTAGGCGGATGCATATTTTCATGGTGATTTAATCTCAAGTTAAAACATAAAACGTTAACATAAAAAGGCATTCCAAGTCCCAACACTCTCTTGATGCTGCTTATGTGGATTATTCATTCTACCTCATAATGTGATACCTTACTGTCTATAAGTAAACTCATTAGTCATTTCCTTTCTCACCAGATATATTCGGAATGAGGAATCCATCTGAAAAGATAGCATTGTTGCTATGTCCTCCTTGGAAAATCCTCAAGATATGATTCAGATTCTTGATCAAAAGCTCGCACGGATCCAGTTTCAACATATTCATATATCTTTGTTCATATGTACATGCATGGTGAAATCTTTGTTCGATTGAGGTTGCAAGTGCAATAAACTAATTAATGATATGGTTGAAACCTAAATTTCGAGTTGCAGTTATAGATCATTGAACTACTCTTTCCTTTTTTTTATTAGATGGTTTGAAAGTAGGTTTATTAATAGATTTCACAATTTTGAGATAAAGTATCATAGAGTATTTATGAAGCAAACACTGCTCAACAACAAGTTGGCTTCTGTTTGTATATATGCTATCTATTTAGTAAGCCTGTCGTGCATAATATAGAAACTCTTGGGGAAAAAAACTCACTGGAAGATTAGTTCGTTACCGATTAAGAAAACACAGATGCGAATGCATGTGCATTTGAATTATTAGGAAACCGCATCTTCATTTCATTTCTTCTTCTCCTTTGATGTTTCCAGAAGAAGATCCTGTAACACACGATCATCCAAGTACTCAAGTACAATCACATGTTTCTCTTTTCCGGCTGATGAACCTGATCCTCTTTCAACACCCGATGAAGATGAATACGACTTAGATGGTGGCCGGAAGGAAGGAGGGTCAGGGAGTTTTGACAAGTACTCGGTTGGAAAATTGAGCGTGGCAAGATGACTCCTTAGGCTGAAGGCAGCCTGATCATAAGCACGTGCTGCTTCTTCCGCTGTATCAAATGTCCCCAGCCATATCCTCTGCCCGTTTTTGTTCGGGTCCCGAATCTCAGCTGCATATTTACCCCATGGCCGCCTCCTTACACCACGGTATCGGACCTCTGCGCTGTCTTTTCCTTCGTCTCCATGCATGGTGTTTCCCTTAGAAGAACCAACTCTGTCCATCGTGTATCTTTCTCAATTACTTCTCTTTCGTTTGCTTTGATCTTTATCTTGATCTTGATGTGATTTTATAGGGGTTAAAAAGAATTAAAAATGCAAAGGTGGCGTTTGACTTTCGATTCTCCATGAACTCTTGTTCATCATTTACATTCTCATGTTTCGACCAAATCTATGTTCTAGAAACGCATCTTTTAGGGTTATACATGATTAAAATAATTGTTGGGAAATCGCTCGGGACTTTCGTTTGAGAGGTTATAATTTCGAAGTTTCAAGGAATACCAATTCCTTAAAGTTTTAGTGAGTCGTGTCTAAAGTTTGCTTAATTCATATTGAAAGGTTTTTACATAAACCTTATATTATAGCAGAACGGATTCATCCACCACGTAGAAAATAAATATTCTCCACTGAATCAAAACGAATTCTTAAAAACATGATTTTTTATTATTCATTCCTTCTTGGTAATAAAGGGATACTAAAAACACATTATATCTGGGTTTTATGGATGTATAGAAATGATATCGTCCATCAAAAAAGTGTTAGGTACTTCTAGGATTGCTAGCATGGTGCAATTTTATAGGTTTCTTTGGGTTAGATATATAGCTCCATTTGGCACTTCTATGAGTTTATTCAAATTGTGTCGTAGCCCACGGAGGGATATGATCTATAATTTGTAGTTATTTTTCTAGAGTTTTAATACACTTTGCTGTTAAAAAATAGAAGCACAGTTAGAGAACAATTTTAATAACTATGTAAATCGAACCAAAAACTTTAGCAAGCTCAATAGACTCTTTTTGACTCAAGAATACGGTAGGAAAGGAGCACATAAAATACAAGAACTACTAAGTGGATTTTGCCTTTATTCGTATCTAACTAAATCCGAATATAATGCGTGTGAATTTCAGTTATTACACAGAAGATGCATGTTCGCATTTTGTGTCTTTATAGAATATATTGGATCTATTGATAATATATATATATATATATATATATATATATATATATATATATATATATATATATATATATATATATATATATATATATATATATATATATATATATATATATATATAGAGAGAGAGAGAGAGAGAGAGAGAGAGAGAGAGATAGGTTCATTTGAAACCACCTATATTTTATGAGACCGTGAGATGCTTTTTTTAATTTTTTTTAGTTAATTCAGGTTCCGAAAATAATATTTAAAAAAAGAATTTTTGGATTTTTTCATTTATTTTTAATTTTTAAATTATTTTTTAGAATATGTACAGTGTACTATTCTATTAGAATATTTCACGTATTTTGAAAAAAAAAACGAGATTTTTTTTTTTTTTTTTTATATTTTTTTAGTTAATTCAAGTTCCTAAAATAATATTTAGAAAAAGAATTTTTAGATTTTTCCATTTATTTTGCATTTTAAAATTATTTTTTAGAGTAGGTACAGTATAATATTCTATTAAAATATTTCACGTATTTTAAAAAAAAATGGGATTTTTTTTGTTTATCTTATTTTTTTTAGTTAATTCAAGTTTCTAAATAATATTTAAAAAATAATTTTTAGATTTTTCCATTTATTTTGCATTTTAAAATTATTTTTTAGAATATGTCAGTGTAAATTTTATTAGAATATTTCTCGTATTTTTCAAAAAAAAAAACGGGATTTTTTTTTTAATTTTTTAGTTAATTCAAGTTCCGAAAATAATATTTAAAAAAAAGAATTTTTGGATTTTTCTCATTTATTTTGCATTTTAAAATTATTTTTAGATTTGGTCACGATACTAAAATTGTCTCAAATGAACATATATATATATATATATATATATATATATATATATATATATATATATATATATATATATATATATATATATATATATATATATATATAGGGAGAGAGAGAGAGAGAGAGAGAGAGAGAAAGAGAAGCGTTCAATCGAGAACATTTCTTATCGCGAGAACATTTGAAAACAAATTTGGACTACACAATTTTTTTAATTAAAGTTATAAAATAATATCCCTATAAATAAAAAATTAGTTACAAACAATTAAAAATCTCACTAACTAACATCATTCACCACCCAACCAACACTACCCACCACCACTACCTACCATTTGCCACCACCAACCACCATCACCAACCATCAACCACGACCTACCACCCACCACCCATCACTACCCGCCACCACCACCAATTTTTTTTTTTTTTTTTTTTTTTTTTTTTTTTTTGTTTTTTTTTGTTTTTTAAGTTGTGTTTAAAAAACTTGCAATTTTTTTCAAAAAAATTGTAAGTTTTTTAAAGAACGCTACATTTAAAAAAAAACTGTAATTTAAAAAAACTGCATTTAAAAAGGAAACTGTAACTTTTTCAAAAAAAAAACTACATTTAAAAAAAATAAAAAACTAAAATTTTAGGTGCATATATACATATTTTTTCAAATGCATATATTCATATTTATTATGGTATAATATTCGCAAGTAAATAATAAAAATCTCATTTTTTATTAATTAATCTATAAACATAATAGTACAAGTATTTTATTCGATACAAAATAAAATATAACAAATAAAAAATGCTACAAATTTCAAAGCGTTCTCTTGTCTTCGTGTCAATATTTCTTTATTTTCTTCAATTTATCATTTTTTACTTCTTCAATATTCACCATAATTTCTTCCAAATCTATAAGAATTTTTTTTTAAAAAAAATTGATTGATGCAAAAACACTCACAAAATACAAATGTGATTTTCATGTGATTAACATATGAATCACATACGATTCACATATGAATCACATGCGATTCACGTATAAATCACATTTGTATATGACATTATATGTAAATCACATGCAATGTACTTATTCAAATGTGAATCACATGTGATTTACATGTGAATCACATATGATTTACATGTGAATCAAATGTGATTTATGTTGGGTTTTGAGCATTCTAACACTCCTATGGTGTACATGAAACCCTAGAAACCTTGGGTCTATGTTTGACTAAGATACATGCAAAATGATTTTCCAAGGTTCATAATCCTATCTAGCATACATGGGGATCTTTTATTCTAATAGTTAGTAAGAATTACATACCTCTTTGTAGCTTCGATTCCTTGAAACCTTGTGAGCCTAGCACCTCAAGTGTGATGCCTCAAATGTCTCACACAACACCAAGTACACTTGGAATAAACTCTAAGAGAATAAGAACACTTGCAAAATCAGTTTGCCCTCATCTTTCTTTCTTAGTCGCCGATTTTGGTGAATAGAATAACTTTTATATAGTGTGTCACAATTAGGGTTACACCATCTAAACCCTAATTCTCACGACCTTTCATTTCCACGACCCATGGGTTATGTAACTCCCATGGAGCATCTTATGGGTTTAACCCAACTTGATAATTGATGGAGCTTTGGCCCACTATATAAGTTATGGATGATTGACACAATCAACCCATATATTTAATTAGTTTTCTTTTGATCACATAATTAATTCTAAATTAATTATTGATCAATAATAACTAAATATTATTATTCTTATTATTAATATATTAGAACTTATAATATATTAATAAACCATAAGTGTCTTATTTCTCTCATTTAGTCTATCCAAGTGCATGATGCCATGCAACCCAAATAGACCATGCCGGGTCGGGTCAAGTACATACCAAATGTAGGACTTGGACACTATATCCAACAATCTCCCACTTGGATAAGTCTAATAACTATAGTTGCAAGTATGACTTCAGGAACCTATCAACAATCATAACTCTTTCAAGGTCTCTCGGAACTGAGAAGATGATGGTGTGCCATTTTAGATAAGTGATCATATAATCCTCTGTTCTAGATATCAGCCGGACAAACACATGGAACAGTGTCTTTCTATTGTCTAGCAGTTGTTTCTCGATTTCTGATTTGTTTGACATAGGACTTAATTGAACACATCAATTTAGTTCGAACCGGGATCGGTACATGGGTCAAAACAAAATCATCAAGGGGCTCAAATATCGCTTCTAGTCCAAGAAGGAAAAGATAAATTTCGACTCATATGTTTGCTCTACTACCTGTTGAATTACACATAAAGGTACATTTTATAGCATCGAGTTACCAATGCGTTTTCGTACAATCAATGCATAACCAACTCATAGGTAACAAATCATATGTCTAGGTTTAAAGACTTATATGATATTACCGTCTCACGATCACTCGAGATAAATTCCATGAATTGATACCAGTGAGCGTGGGTTGAATCCAATACTCAGATTTTATGAGCACTCATGAGTGTTGTAGCCCCCTTTGTCCACCATCATGGATCTCTACAAACCAACCCATGACACTCTTGATTCATATATACTTCCAACATAGATTGACTATGGAGAATTTGAATAATATGATATACACCATAACATAATTCTTCTAGAAGTCAACACATGCAAAAAGAAATACTAGTAAATGATTGACAAGATATAGCAACACTTTACTCATAAATAACAACTTTTATTTATCATCAAATGTCAATTATATTTTACATATTTCAAAATTATCTAACTTCTAAAAACTAATATCATCCTTAGCCATATGCTCCTAGCATGGTGAAGATGCTTAACCCTACTCAGTCCGGGTTCTCATCTGATGATACCCTCTTTGCCACGAGGATTCCTTTTTCTATTCGATGTCTGATGAAATGATATTTTCTGCCGATGTGCCTAGATCTCTCATGATCCTTTGGTTCCTTTGCTAAGGCAAATGCACTTTCACTATCACAAAAAATTTCCATGGGCTCCTTAGCCATATAGCCTCCTTTTACTGCTTTACTTGCTGCTATATACTCTGATTCACAAGTGGAATCAGCCACAGTATCTTGCTTGGAACTTTTCCAAGTAATTTCCCCTCCATTTAGGGTAAAGACCCAGCCTGACTGGGAGCAGAAATTATCCCTATCAGTCTGAAAGCTAGCATCACTATACCCTGCTACTTTCAAGTCATCACTCCCACCAAGGGTAAGGACCTAATCCT